TTCCACTGATGGTTGGCACAAATACACAGACAGTTGACCACACCCACAAATATGCTAATATATCTTTAATGCTCACAGATCTGGTGGTGTAGCTGCACTGTAGCAGGACATTTCAGGTTCCTTGCAACTAAGAGATTATGAGTTGAAATCCCATTTAAGGCTAAGTCCCAATGGTGGTCACAGTTCAAGATTTTACAGTAATTGAAATCAGAATACATCAGAGCAATCTTGAGGGAATCCTATTTGAGTCAGAAAATGATATTCATATGATAGGTGCTATACAAAACAGCGCAAAGAGCCTATCCAATTGACAATCTCTTAGAAAAAAATATAAACTATTGAAAACCAATACTTAAAAATGACTGATATTGGCACAAGATGGAGGGAACATAACTAACAAAATTACAGTTAATGAAAATGTATGCTTAATCCAGTATAAATTAATGTATAGAATTTATTATACATGAGACAAACTTCACAAATTCTACAGCACAACGACAGAGTCATGTCTTAAGTGTAAAACTAACAATGACTCAATACTCCATGCCTTCTGGGAATGTTATAAAGTCCAAAAGTTATGAGCGGAGTTAGAAAGTTGGCTGTCAGAAGTATTACAATGTAAATGTACTTTTGTCTGTCTGCATATTTCAAGACATGGCATATGAGGGTGCAGTGAGATAACCGATGGGTTGGACGATACTTTTCTTGTCAATCATGCAAAAATCTCTGAAGCTGGAGACTCTTATCTCCCTCACTAACTTTAAGCATCAGTTGTCAGAGCACCTTACTGATCACTGCACCTGTACACAGCCCATCTGAAATTAGCCCACCCAACTACCTCATCCCTATATTGTTATTTATTTTTGCTCATTTGCACCCCAGTATCTCTATTTGCACATCATCTCTTGCACATATATCATTCCAGTGTTAATACTAATCGTAATTGTAATTATTTTGCACTATAGCCTATTTATTGCCTTACCTCCAACTTCAAAGTTGCTACATTTGCACACACTGTATATATATTTTCTGTTGTATTTTTGACTTTATGTTTTGTTTTACCCCATATGTAACTCTGTGTTGTTGTTTTTATCGCACTGCTTTGCTTTATCTTGGCCAGGTCGCAGTTGTAAATGAGAACTTGTTCTCAACTGGCTTACCTGGTTAAATAAAGGTGAAATAAAAAAATAAAAAATAAATAAATAATCTAGGAAAAATGCATACTTAAAAACCAAAAAAACACAAAGCAAAGGTCAAATGCTTTATTATCTAAATGTTGAAAGTGTGTGGGTGACTGAGAGAAACAAAATGGTGCAGTTTGAGGCCATGTGGCAGAGAGTGATGTGGGCGCTGGAGATGTGGGTGTGAGCATGTGGGTCTGGGCAGGTGTGATGTAGTTGATTGTGTGATGTTGTCATTTGTATGTCTATGTTTTGTATTGTTCTTATTTTTTTATAAAAATTTGGGTTGGGTCACTTAGTTCGGTTGTTTTCTTTAACCTCTTAAGGATCGGACCCTTTTTTAAAATTTTAGCCTAAAATGACATACCCAAATCTAACTGCCTGTAGCTCAGGACCTGAAGCAAGGATATACATATTCTTGATACCATTCAAAAGGAAACACTTTGAAGTTTGTGGAAATTTGAAATTAATGTAGGAGAATATAACACATTAGATCTGGTAAAAGATAATACAAACCAAAAACATGCATTTTCTATTTTTTTTTTTTTTCATTATCTTTGAAATGCAAGAGAAAGGCCACACTATAATATTGCAGTTTAGGCGCAGTGTGTGTGCAAAGATTCAGATTGATCCAGTGAAGCATTGCAACACTGGACTATTTTGTATCAAGTCCGCCCAAATGTGCCGAATTGATACATTTTCAAGTACATAACAATAGAGAACATACAAAAAGAATATGGTAATACAAAATGTAAGTTTACACACTCCCAGGAATGTCATACATGATGGATCATTAGCTTATACCATGCTAATGATCGAATTATGTTAATGACCCTCCCCGTACTGCCATCTAGATGTGTGAAAGTTATGGAATCGAACCAGTGGGCTCCCGAGTGGCGCAGCGGTCTAAGGCACTGCATTTTCAGTGCTTGAGGTGTCACTACAGACCCCCTGGTTCAATTCCAGGCTGTATCACAACCGGCCGTGATTGGGAGTCCCATAGGGTGGCGCACAATTGGCCCAGCGTCGTCCGGGTTTGGCCGGTGTAGGCCGTCATTGTAAATAAGAATTTGTTCTTAACTAACTTGCCTAGTTAAATAAAGTAAAATAAATAAAAAAATACACTAACTTTCACATATCTAGATGGCCATGCAGGGTGGGTGTGGAGCCAGAGACAGCAGGGGTTCTAACTGTAGAACCCAGTTCCTACATTTGAATATAAAAATGGATTTTATCAAACAAAACTATGCTACATTTTATCTCTGGGACCCTTAGGATGACAAATCAGAGCAAGATTACTGAATGTAAGTACATTATTTACCTTCAGAGGTGAATGTATCAAACCAGTTGCCGTGATAATTTTGTTGTTGTTGTGCCCTCTCCTCAAACAATAGCACAGTATTTTTTTCACTGTAATAGCTACTGTAAATTGGACAGTGCAGTTCGATGAACAAGAATTTAAGTTTTCTGCCCAAATAAGACATGTCTATGTCCTGGAAAGTGTGCTGTTACTTACAACAGTCATGCTAATCACATTAGCGCACGTTAGCTCAACCATTCCGTATATGGGACACCGATCCCGTAGAGGTTAAAAACTGCAGCGTTATTGGTGCTGGGTTATTGAAATATGTCCAACCGGGTCAGATCAGAAGACTGGAGGTATGGTTTAGTAGGGGCATGGCTTTCAGATAGTTGTTTTTGGTCATCCAAATAAGTAAATGTCATTCCTGTTCATCTGTTCTGTTGTATAGTTATCACATGGTAAAGTTGAACATTTACATTTTTATAGTTTCAATAAGGCTTACAGAAGTGTGTGAGCACCTTAAAAGCCTACATACATCCCATTGTTGGGATACAATGAGGTGGTGTACTTTATTATAATTGTAATATTATAGAAGAATGGGTAAAATGCCCAAAAAATATGAAAAATTGAATTTGCAGTATGTAAACATAACATGATCAGGAATTACATTTACTCTCACTGGTGGCCAATTAGGTCTAGCTGATAGTCACGCCCCGAATAAGCCACACCTCCTGAAAATACCTAAGGATTACGTTAAAAAATAACCAGCTGCTAGGTCAACCCAGCATGAGAGTAAAATATGCCCAACTGATGGTTAAATTAACCCATGTTTGGGTAATCCCAACAACCCAACTTGTTGGGTTATACACTCAACCCAACTGGCAAAAAAAAAATATATAAAAATATGTCAAATATTTACAAGCGCCGGGTTACCAAAGAACCCAAATTGGGTTGTTTTTAACCCATCTTTTTTTTGTGTGTGATGCTGCTGCACTGGTGACAGCTCCAGTCAGTGACAGAACACTGTGGTTCTTCTGATTTCAGATCAGATGTACTCATCATGCTCTGATTACACAGGACACGCACCGCACACCTCACATCTCACACAGTGAAACAGAAGAACACCCAACAAAGATACACTAATGTAACCAAGTGCACCTAAAACTGGGAAACAGAAGCAAGAACACTTCATATCGAGAATTGAGAAACAGAAGCAACTACACTTCCTACTGAAAATTGAGAAACAGAACCAAACACACCCAATACTGAGAAATACAACCAAGCACACCCAATACTGAGACACACAAATATAACCAAGCGCACCCAATACTGATGCGTACACCTCAGGCGTCAAACTTCACAAATCCAAACAATACTGCATGTGCCCTCAATGCCTTCTAACTCTACCTACAGTTGAATGCAGGAAAGAATGTTGCATAACCCTAGTGTCAGTCTATACATATATAGAGTACAGACTATGAGAAAGTAAGAGGAAAGGAAGAGGAGGAGAGTGATGCAGGGCCTTTGTGGAGTGATGACAAAAGAAGGACCTTGAGGCTCCTCTAAACTGGCTCTACTGAGTGGCAGCAGAGGCACGCATGATGGAGCTACATAATCTCTCTAATCATGAAATTAATGACATCTCTCTCTCTCTCTCTCTCTCTCTCTCTCTCTCTCTCTCTCTCTCTCTCTCTCTCTCTCTCTCTCTCTCTCTCTCTCTCTCTCTCTCTCTCTCTCTCTCTCTCTCTCTCTCTCTCTCTCGTGTGATTGTCTGCAGGTGAAAGATGAGGGTTGTCTGTGTGTTCAGTAGAAAGTTAACTTCATCTCCGTACAGTACTTGCATTTACTTTGGGCTAAGCACATGCATCCGAGCACATGCATCAAGCGCTTTTTTGACTGAACCCCCCCCCCCCCCCCCCCTTGAAATACCAAGGAACTAAAAGGGAATCGAAATGGATGAAAAGGGAAACTAAGTGTTTAACAGTCAGAGGGGTAAGAGGGTGAAGGATAGAATTATGTTGTTCCAAATCAGATGGAAAAGATTGTTGTCCTTACTAATCTGTACATGTACTCATTATTCATTATTATATAAGATGAGTGTTAAAACTGCCAACAATCTCTCTCCTACACATCCAAATACGCACCATGTATTGCTCATCTGATGACTCCTTTTCTCTCTTTCTCAATCTCCTGCTCTCTTTCGCTTTCTTATTCTTTCTTTCTGTTTTTGAATTTACCAGGGCTCTGCATAGCTGGTGGGTGGCACAAGGACGGCACCTACTGAGAGATGCCAGTGCCAGTCTATGGTGGCACCAGAGTGGGCAGAGCAGACATGCAGCCCCTTGACAGGACCCACCCGGAGAGCCTGGGTGAGTGACTACCACAGTGGGCTGATTGACAGAAAGAAGTGTTCAATCGATTCAAGAATTTCCTGTACGTATATTTGACTTGGCATCCAACAAATTCTGGGGGTTGATTTAGATTACTCAGACATTTGGCGAAATCTTGTATTGGTCATGTCATTAAAATGCATAATCAAATTCCTCTCCTTAATTTTCTCCTCTCCTCTCTCCCGAGACTATGCAGCCCTGCCCAGTCTGCTGCTGGTACTGCTTGGTCTGCTAGTGGCAGCTAGCGGATGTCCCACAGTGTGCATCTGCAAAAGCAATGGCACAGACTGTACAGGCCTGGCTCTGCTCTCGCTAACCACCGTCCTGCCCCTGCTGCCCCATGACACCCGCACCCTCCGCCTGCCCCACAACAACCTCTCCTCCCTAGGCAATGGGGACCTGTCCAACCTAAGCGCTCTGGAGCTTCTGGACCTCTCCGACAACCACCTCTCCAGCCTGCAGCCGGGGGCTTTCTCCGGACTCAGCAGCCTCCAGTGGCTCAACCTCTCTGGTAACAACCTGGGTGACTGCCCCCTTCCTACCTCTCCAGATCCCAGTAACCAGACGGAGGTGACACAGAGTAACGGGAGTCGCTGGGGACTGAGCCGAGAGCTGTTCCAGGGTCTGTGGACACTGAAAGGGCTGGACTTGTCCCTGAATGGCCTGGTTGTTCTGCCCAAGGGCCTGCTGGACGAGCTCCAGGGCCTGGCCTGGCTGTCTCTGGCTGGAAACAAGCTGCAGAGCTTGGACAGAGCTACCTTCCAGCCTCTGGGCAGCCTGTTGAGCCTCCAACTGGCAGGGAACCCATGGGAGTGTGACTGCAACCTGAGGGACTTCAAGCACTGGATGGAGTGGATGCTGTACAGACGTGAGTGTTATGTTGTGTATTGAAAGGCTTTAAGGTTACAATGTTTCATGTACAGTCAAGTCATTTCGCCTTCGTTCCATGTCATGTACTAGTTTGATGCTGTATTAAGTCTGTAAATGAGATTGATTAGCTATTGATAGTGTTAATGATCCACTGCATTGCTCGCTGTGTCTCAGACGGGCAGGTGGATGCTGTGAAGTGCAACCTCCCCAAGGAGCTGAGGGGGAAAGACATCCGCAGCATCCCTATAGAGATGTTCAACTACTGCCTGCAGCTGGATAACCAGGACAGGGTCCCCGGCTACGACGGGCCTCGAGGAGGACGCCCACCCTGCTTCGGTCTGATTAACGGGCCCATGAACGGGCCCCAAATCAACCAAGAAGACTGCGTGCGCCAGCGCTACCGGCCCATTAGCGTGCGCAGGGCCTGGGGGACTCAGATCGTGGCGGCGTGTGTGTGTGGCGTGGTGTGCGTGTTGATGGTGGTGGCAGCAACCTACGGCTGTATCTATGCCTCTCTCATGGCCAAGTACCAGAGGGAGCTGAAGAACAGAGGGCAGCCGCTGATGGCGGGGGAGGGAGGGGGGGAGACAGACGCTGAGGACGGAGCTTGTCTGTCCTCCCCAATGTCACCAGATGAGCCAGAACTGAAGGAGTCCAGCCCGATAGTCCACGGATACAGAATAACAGGCTTTTGATCATTGTTTTTCTGACTAGCTGAAATTCCTGTTAGAAGGATTCAGTGGACTGAACTGCATATCGTACTCCTCTGTGCTAGGGCATTCTAGGTGAGGGAATGTATAGAGCTGAGCATGCATATCCCTGCTGCACTTTGCTGGTGGTGGATCATACAGGTGATCGTATAGAGGAAAATGAAAAACGGGACAAACTGGAATCCTGCTTTGCTTCAAGACGTGTGGATGCTCTGTGATTTGTTCTGCCCTGTGTGACTCTTTAGTCAGCTCTCCAACTGTGTGGTAATGGTTCTGGCACCTCGGTTAAGAGACTTTCCTAGAAATTGTCTTTGAAATTGTTATTATTCTTTGAAGTTATTTGTGTTTGAAGCAGAACATGTCAATAGATCATAGATGAAGTCAACATATTGAATATCCCTGTCCAATATATTGTAACTGCTCCTAATGTTTTGCTACAAAAATCCCAGGTATATAATCCCAGTAGTGGTTGTCGCTCAATTAGTTGGATGAGAGAAAACCAAAATACAGTTGACATGAATGTACTGAGAAATTAATGTTAGACGGATGCAGTCTTTTTTGTGTATTAGACCTGTGCTCATGTGCAGTTGCTTAATCCTCTCTCTACTAATGTAATATTCCAAATCATATCTTCATTAATCAAATCTATGCAGAGTAAGCCTGCTTTCAATGGTCCAAAGCCATAAAATACAACAGCATACTACTGACCTCTAGAGGATGTTATGATAACAGCAGCTGAAGAGTATCAGTTCCATGGATAGCAGCCATATTCATTACAAACTGAAACTAGTTGTCAGCTATTTCCATTTATCCATTTCGAACTGTCAAAGGGATCATCAACACTGCCCTAAAACAGGTATATATAACTATCTCCTTATTTATCCAACCCTTATTTTTGTCTCTAAGTTCAAGTTGAAATCTCCGTAAGGTGAAACAGCGCCACTGGTCGCCCCAGGTGCATTTGTTATTGTTTTTGTTTTGTTTATGAAATGAAGTAGAGGAGCATCCAGCATCATGGTAAAATAAAATGGTAGTACATACTCTGCTGTTCTATCGCGCGTGCAATGATGTCTGAGGGGAAAAAACAGTGTTCATTGTTTGAAGTAATGTCTTTGTTGTTGTAATATCGCAAACGGAAGTAGCAGTTTCACCGCTACGGATTCCAGCTTTAAGGGCCATACACACCCTATGCAAGCAGAGCAACGGAGTGTCGTATACAGTCCATTCCAAAATTTGAGCCACACAAAAGTAAAGCGAACTACGTAGAAAACAATGCTCCATCGCTGCGTTTGCGTAGTTTGCGTGGTGTGCAGCGGCCTTTAAGCACATTCAATATTTGCTCTTTAGTTTTGCTCGACAAGACGAAGTGAGATATGTGATATTCTGTTAATCATGCTGACGAAAATAAAGCATTTATTTATCTAAGCTGCCCATCACAATTTATTCCAGCTGATTTTTTATTGTAGCTATATTTATGAAAAAAGCCTATGAAGAAAACACCTTATGAAGATGTGAAAACCATCACAGTTGTCACAGATACACTCAACAGTAACCCTGCTCTTTTAGGGAATTTCACAAGACAAATGGAGTGTTTCCCTCTCCACAAGAGAAAGTGTGTCAAACATTTAGCAGTAGCACCCCAGAGAACACTACTACCAGTATGGTCACTTCAATACACATAGAAGCCATTAGATGCATCAACGCCTCCAGCATTTGTGTAAAGCAGCCAGACATTTCAGAGAGTAAAAGAAAGCAGAAGCTTACCTCCAGCCATGGCTGTCTTGCCTCCCGATGACACAGTCACAGCTGTGACGGCTATGACATACTTCGACGCCCCTGTCACAAGAGAATCAACCAATCAACAATCAGTCTCACACAACCTCTGAAGTGGCGTACCGCAGTTTCGCAGGCCCCCCGCAAGGTCTGAGAAAGCCCCCCCCCAACCCAGCTAGCTTCCTACAATTCTACACATTTTGCCATGGGGCATATAGAAAAATGTGCAGTTGTATAGCTAATCTCATGCTATTCTGCACGTTTTGCAATGAGGCTGAGATTATTTTGCATTTTTAAAGCTAATTTCCTGCTATTCTACACATTTTGCCATGAGGCTGAGAGAACATTTAGCAGTTTTGCAGCTAATTACCTGTAATTCATTATTAATTTTTTTTACATGGCTTATGATGGGGGGTCGGAGTGGTACGCCAGTGAACCTCTGACGTATTGTAGGTTTGTTAAGTTATATTGTCAAGTCAATAATGCAGTATATCAGAGTTGGGGTCAATTCAGTTTAAATTCCTGCCAGTTTGGACTTTAATTGTGGCATTTCTCAATAGTAACGGAATTCACTAGACTGGTGCCAGGTCGGTTTGTGTTGTCTTGCCAACTCCTATGGTCATTGTCACTGCAAGTGTTGGTAAGACAGCACAAACAGATCTGGGACAAGGCTAGGAATTGACCTCAAGCCTGGATCATATGGTAGGCCTACCTGTCTGGTCTTTGTTGTCATTGTCCTCCACTGGCATGTAGTAGAGGAAGCGTCCGGGAGGGTTCTCCATGGCCAGGCGGTACCACAGGGGGAAGTGGTCCACGGTGAACAGGTTGTCCTTATCAGCTGGAGTCAGGAACTTCCTTTGGAGCAGGAAGTTAAGAGAGAGTTTAGATAAAATTCCTCGGTCGTATTCATTAGTGCACAATGTAGGAAAACGTTTTGCAAAACATTGTTTCTTATTGGACAAGTTCAGGTAGTGCCTCCCTGTTTCTTTAATTTGGTGCCTAATGAATACTTCTGTGCTCAAAGGACACAGTGAACATACAATATAATGTAAGGCTAATGTAGGTTGTTTGACTCACTTGGCGACCCTGGTCTCCATTCCGGTGTATCTGGTCAGCCGGATGACGCCAGAACGAGTTCCCAGGAAGGCTGCCTCCACACCCGCCTCCATCCTGAACATACACAAATGCACAGATTGGTCTTTACTGCACTCAAACACACATGCTGTCCCAACTTCCTCTGGGGCTGCCTCCTCTCCTTGTTCGGTCAGGCTTCGGCGTTCGTCACCACCGGCCTTCTAGCCACTGCTGCTCCTCATCTCATCATTCCATTTGTTTTGTCTTGTTTATTACACACACCTGGTTCATATCCCCTCATCAGTACCTGTATAAGTGTTCCCTCTGCCCCCTTGTTTTTGTGTGTGATTATTTATTGTGGAGGAGAGAGAAGCTCGGTGAAGCTCTGTGTATTTTATATCGCCAGGAATATTCCCTGTGTACCTTGTATTTTCCAGTGCGCCTGTTTTGCGCACTGGAGTGTTTCTACGCATTACTGCGTAACTCTGTGGTTCAGAATAAATCCTGTTATTCTGTGATTTACCCTCCTGCGCCTGACTCCTTCAAAATCACCACATCACAGACCCGAACATGGAGTCAGCAGGAGAGGAGCACCTGCCTGTAGTCGTGGCACGGGTCCGGGAGCATTCGACTATGCTAACCAGCTTGGGAGAAGCGATGGATCGCCTGGAGAGGAGAGGACCCGATCTTTCGGGACCAGCTGAGCGACCGGATCCAGCCACCCACACCCCAGCACCCAGAGGGATTCATATATCTCGACCACGGGATTTTGACGGGAAAGCTGCCCTCTGCCAGGGATTCCTCCTACAAATGGATTTAACTTCTCGAGAAGGTGTCTGCCCTCGTCTCCTGCCTCTCGGGGAAAGCCCTGGAGTGGGCCAACGCGGTCTGGAGTGAAGGAGGAGCCGCATTGGACAACTTCGGGGAGTTGCTCGCCTCTTTCGGGCCGTCTTCAATCACCTGCCCGAAGGTAGAGAGGCGGGCGAGCGGCTGGTCCACCTGAGACAGGGGACGAGGACCGCGCAGGACTTCGCCCTGGAGTTTCGTACTCTAGCGGCTGGGTCCGGGTGAAACGAGCAGGCCCTCATCGACCACTTCCAGTGCCATCTACGAGAGGATGTCCGAAGGGAGCTAGCCTGCCGGGACACCACGTTGTCGTTCGATCAACTGGTGGACATGACCATCCGGTTGGACAACCTGCTGGCTTCTAGAGGACGTCCTGGAAGGGGCCTGCCCGTTCTACCCCCCCCCCCCCCCCCCCCCCCCCCCCCCCCCAAACCAGATCACGAGATGATGGAGCTGGGTGGAGCGGCGATCCGGGAGAGCGGAGGACGACAGCGCCAGTGTCACTCTTGTGGCATGGGAGGACATTCTGCTGCACGCTGTCGTCTGCGTTCTTTTGGGTCTGGAGGCGGCAGGCAGGGCACTCTCGCGTCACCCCAGGTATCGAACACCCACACTCGTTCAGAGCCCTCTGCTGCGCACTGTACCCTACACATCCACTTTCCTGATTACACGGTAGTTCCCCAGTGTAAGGGGGGGGGGGCTTCCTCCGAGGCTGCCTCCTCTCTTTGTTCGGGCAGGCTTCTGCGTTCGTCGTCACCGGCCTTCTAGCCACTGCTGCTCCTCATCTCATCATTTCATTTGTCTTGTTTATTACACACACCTGGTTCATATGCCCTTATCAGTACCTGTATAAGTGTTCCCTCTGCCCCCTTGTCTTTGTGTGTGATTGATTATTGTGGAGGAGAGAGAAGCTCGGTGGAGCTCTGTGTATTTTGTTTCGCTGGGAATATTCCCCGTGTGCCTTGTATTTACCAGTGCGCCTGTTTTGCACACTGGAGTGTTTTTACGCATTACTGAGTAACTCTGTGGTTCAGAATAAATCCTGTTATCCTGTGATTTACCCTCCTGCGCCTGACTCCTTCAAAATCACCTCATCACACATGCGCACACATATTTACATACGCATGCACACAAGCAAACACACAACACACACACAAACACTAGCTAACATAAAATGAAATTAGCGAAAAAAATAATCTTGTAGTCTCACCCAGATGCATTGAGCATTATCGCCTGCCAGTAGGCTTCTAAGGGGGCTGTCACCACAGCATCAAACAGGGTCTGCTGCACCAGCACCTCGTCACCTGGAAGTCACAGACACTCAGTCAACACCAAATCTGCCTGATATTATACTTGTTTATTTGTCTTAATAATAATCCTTATTATCCCCATTAGCCGATGCCCTCGCAACCGCTAGTCTTCCTGGGGATCCACAAAAAATGGTTAGGATTAGGGTTAGGGTAAAATTAGCATTGGTGTTATGGTTTTAATAAATGGTTATCTTTGGAGGATGGAGCAGGCTGTAGAGACAGTACTCACACTCCAGGTCAGGCTCCTTCCCCTGCAGGTAGCGAATGACAGCCTGGAGCTGAGAATATTTGCGGTGGTGAGGGTCAATGTCTGTCTCACAGTACGTCCTGAACAGAAAGGATACAGTACGTCCTGAATGGATGAGGGGTTTTCACTCCATGAAGTCCAAGGGCCATTTAAGACCAATAAAGTATTACAGTCCAATAATCTATCATTTAGAGTATTACAGTCCAATACTCTATCATTTAGAGTATTACAGTTCAATACCCATTAATTTAGATTTTTACAGTCTAATCATTTAAGCATAACACTCCAACAATCTATAGTCTATAATATTACTGTCCAATTTTCATTTATTTATCCATACTTACCACTCAGCGGCTATGGATAGATCAGGGGACGTCAGGTCATGCAGGCCTGAGGGGAGATTGGATGAGACCAGTAAATAAATCAGATTGTTCTGCAGTAGATGAGTGGCAGAGAGAGTGGCTAATGGCACTTACCCTCTTCCACAGAGACTGTCCCCATGAACATCAGCTGTCCGTGACCCCTAGTCAGCACCATACCAAAACTGCAGAGGGAAATACATACAGTACAATGTGGAGTGAGATGTTCAATGACTTTATTCAATCCAATAGGCCTATGACTACATACCACACTCACTAACATAGTATCACACTTACCTGAATGGGGTCTCGTTGATGGTTGTGTAGAAATAGTCATTTGTTAAGAACAAAGGCCTTTTCTGTTGTAAATAAAACATTTGAAATGTGTTATGAGGCAGTTGTTACAATCAATATTCAATAATTTTACATAAACCACTGAGCCACATTTAATCTCCCCACACACAAGGTCTCAATTACCGCTTTGTCCACTGATGCTCTCACGTTTAAAGACAGAGTGCCCATCTCCCCTTTCACCATGGCTGTCCTTAGCTGGAAAGAACACACACAGTAACGCACACAATTTCTGTTGAACTTTTATTCAGTTACCTTACCAGCACAGTTAAAGCCCAGAACAATACATTCATACCTAGAATAGGTACAGGTGTTCTACTGTATTAAATATATTCATTGTGTTGTCAGTGAATAATGTGATATGGTATGTACAGTATACTGCATGTGCAGGAGCTGACTTTTCTATGTTTCAGAGGTTTCAAATGAAACGGCCCCACTGACTGATTTTTAACGCAAATGTGTTCAAAACAACTTTATATGGGCTGTATTTAAAAAAATCCTGAAATTAAAATCATAATAAAATAAATATTTTCAATAATCATTGCAGGTAATGTTCGTGGGAAAATTGCAATTTTGGGGGGCCCCTTAACGTCATTTTGAAACCAGCCTCCAAATCCACCCCTGTATATGTGTATTCAGTGTTTCCTTCCTGTTTTATACCCAGCCTCACTCATTGTTGTTTCCGTTTATTGTAAAGCTTCTTTGGTTTTTAGAAAAGCGCTATAGAAGATCTATGTATTATTAATACTGTTAATACTCACTGTCTCATCTATGTCCTCCCACTCCACCTCAGCCAGGTCCACACTGTTGTAGTTGGGCTTGGGCTTCAACTTCTTACCGTCTTTATACTGTGGGACAGGAGAGGAGAAGAAAGACAATATGGGTGAAAAGATGAAGAAGAGGACAGATACAACTTTCAGATAGAACCTCATCTGTCTATATGTGTGTGTGCTCTGTAAGATGGGAGGATCACTTAGGCCAAATGTGTTTGATGGACATCTCCATGACATGGTATCCTGAATGACAACCACTGGCTCCAAATGGAACAAGTAGGTGTATTATTGACCACTTAACCTTGCCACCCAGAATCACAACTTATTGTTGCCTGGGAGGGACTAGCTGAAGTTGTCAAATAAGAAAGGCTTGTTTTCATTATCTGTTGCAAAACAATTTGCTACACAGTAAGGGCTCTATTCAATCCGCATCGCGGAAGTTCAGCTTTACAGCGTGATTGAAATTTAAAGGCAATGTTCTTTAGTGGAGACTACATTGACAGTAAACGCTCCAAATGTCAGCTCAATCGGAAATGACCTTTACATTTCTATCGTGGAATCTGTAAAGCTGAATAGAGCCCTAACTCAAGGATAGTTGTTACAATAATTAGGGTTAAATTGACTCTACTAGGAGTTATTTTAACCCTCAAGAGAGTGATACATTCCCTGGGGTTAGTGTTGATAACTGGAGTTCATTGGGACGCAGTACTTTTAACTCCATTAAGAGTAACCGGAGACATCTACGGAGTTATCCACAGATGTGGGAGGGGCCTCATTGTCATATGTCTCAGCATGCTCTGTTGCAGGTAGATTTTTTCAATTGTTTGTTTCAATATCTGTGTTTTCGCATATACATTGAGTGCTTTTGATCTTATGCTACACAAAGATAAGAAACATACATTTTCTAAACAATTCCAATCTGTAAATGGTTGGATTTATAGCAACCATTAGAGAGATAGTTGTTCAGTTTACATGGTGCAGGTAGTCTTCATGTATGGTATTGATCAATAATAACAAACCTCCTGGCACTGCCAACTTAGATGGAAAGCTACTGAGGATGGTAGCTGACTCTATAGCCACTCCTATCTGTCATATCTTTAATCTGAGTTTACAGGAAAGTCTTTGTGGTCAGGCCTTGAGGGAAACCAAAGTAATTCCGATACCCAAGAATGGTAAAGCAGCCTTTACTGGTTCTAACAGCAGACCTATAAGCTTGCTGCCAGCTCTTAGCAAACTGTTGGAAAAAATGGTGTTTGATCAAATACAATGCTATTTCTCTGTAAACAAATTAACAACAGACTTTCAGCATGCTTATAGGGAAGGGCACGCAACATGTACTGCACTGACACAAATGACTGATGATTGGTTGAAAGAAATTGATAATAAGAAGATTGTGGGAGCTGTACTGTTAGATTTCAGTGCAGCCTTTGATATTACTGACCATAACCTGTTGTTGAAAAAACGTATGTGTTATGGCTTTTCAACCTCTGCCATATCGTGGATTCAGAGCTATCAATCTAATAGAACTGAAAGGGTTTTCTTTAATGGAATCTTCTCTAATGTCAAACATGTAAAGTGTGGTGTACCACAGGGCAGCTCTATAGGCCCTCTATTATTTTCTATTTTTACCAATGACCTGCCACTGGCATTAAACAAAGCATGTGTGTCCATGTATGCTGATGATTCAACCATATACGCATCAGCAACCACATCTAAGGAAGTCACTAAAACCCTTAACAAAGAGTTGCAGTCTGTTTTGGAATGGGTGGCCAGTAATAAACTGGTCCTGAACATCACTAAAACTAAAAGCATTGTATTTGGTACAAATCATTCCCTAAGTTCTAGACCTCAGCTGAGTCTGGTAATGAATGGTTTGGCTGTTGAACAAGTTGAGGAGACTAAATATATAGATTCAATGGTTGTAAAGATGGGGAGAGGTCTGTCCGTAATAAAGAGATGCTCTGCTTTTTTGACACCACACTCCAAAAAGCAAGTTCTGCAGGCTCTAGTTTTGTCTAATCTTGATTATTGTCCAGTCATGTGGTCCAGTGCTGCAAGGAATGACCTAGTTAAGCTGCAGCTGGCCCAAAACAGAGCGGCACGTCTTGCTCTTCATTGTAATCAGAGGGCTGATATAAATACTATGCATGCCAGTCTCTCTTGGCTAAGAGTTGAGGAGAGACTGACTGCATCACTTCTTCTTTTTATAAGAAACATTGTGTTGAAAATCCCAAATTGTTTGCATAGTCAACTTACACACAGCTCTGACACACACACTTACCCAACCAGACATGCCACCAGGGGTCTTTTCACAGTCCCCAAATCCAGAACAAATTCAAGAAAGCGTAGAGTATTATATAGAGCCATTATTGCATGGAACTCCGTTCCATCTCATATTGCTCAAATAAACAGCAAACCTGCTTTCAAAAAACAGATAAAGCAACACCTCATGGCACAACGCCTCTCCCCTATTTGACCTAGATAGTTTGTGTGTATGTATTGATATGTAGGCTACGTGTGCCTTTTAAAAACATGTATGTAGTTCTGTCCTTGAGCTGTTCTTGTCTATTCATGTTCTGTATTATGTCATGTTTCATGTTTTGTGTGGACCCCAGGAAGAGTAGCTGCTGCTTTTGCAACAGCTAATGAGGATCCTACTAAAATACCAAAAATACCTAATTGTATTTTTTCCCCCTGCTCTCTGACAGCCATTCTAAATGCAAGTTGTGAGTGATGTGAACGTGCTGGATATCTCCTGCAAGTTGGCTTCCAACAGAGATTGGATATCACATTGCAAACCACCATAATGTGACACATTAAGAAATATTGAAGTAAGGCTTTACACCCTTATAACTCAAATGAAGTAAAGAAATGTACTCTGTAGTTGATTGTTAATTCAAAACAACACAGAAAATAGTGACATGGAAAGGGAGTTGATTAAAAACGACACTTAAACTAGTAAAATGGCAATTGGAGTTAAATTTAAGCCACTGTGAGAGTTGCATATTTACTCCATTTAGCGTCATTTTAACTCCAAAAATATCAACACCATGACCCAAGTAATTTAAACAAATGGGGGGGGACATATAACCCAAAATAGTTAAAGCTCCAATATGGAATTTAGGGCGACCGACCAATCCTAGAAGGTGTTATAAACCTTCTCATCGAAGAAGTAATAGGAGTGGTAATTTCTAGCTCCCTTCTAATTTGTTTTGGGTCTTTACTTTCGGTTTTTAACAGCTTAACGCTGAAAATTTTGGTATGGAAAATAGACTTGCACCTAAGAATTTAGAACCAGGAAATGGTGTAGAAATTTGCATAGTGGTCTTTAAATTTCATAGATGATAACTCTGCGATTTTACTGTGTTGGTATGCACTATAAACGACCATGACGCTCCAGTGTTGAGCAGAGACACGCACTTTTTAACCAAGTAATGGAATTATTAATGCTCTGTTCAACAACCAATCAGTGACCCTTTACAAAATCTGCAACTTGAACACTGAGGGCTCTATTTTAACAAACCTAACGCAAAGGTAAATCTTAGCACAGGCGGTAGCACTATAGGTCTGGGGGTGTCAGAAAAGTTTTTGCTCTTTTCACAGTGGGAATTATGAGCGCAATACCTGGCGGTGGCATGAAAGGGCAGGGTTTTGATGAAAAATTAATTGGAGGTGTGATGAGGGCTTGGCCACTCACTGACCAATCAATGCGTTTCATGGCTTAATTCTGCATGCTGTTGTCTCAAGTTCTGTAGGTTATTGACGGTTTTTTAGTTGTCATCAACTCCAATTTGGCTGGGGGCAGGGCATATTCTCATCCTAGTCCATTGTGGAATTATACTCGTTTATTAAATAGCATAGGCTACAGTAATGAGTAATAACAATAAATATACTGGATATATAAAAGAAACATCCAGTGTTTGCTCAATATGTTTGGAGTGTTGACAGTCAACATTGTTGAAATTGGCTTCAATGAGTATAGGCATGCATGTCTTTAAGCATTGCACTTCTCCTCAAATAAAAAATACTAGGCTTCCATAAATTGTATTGTATGTGTGAGGCACGTTCTCAATAAGCAAGATATAGCCTAGGCCTACGGTTGATATGGCGTTATATGACTGAATTTAAATATGTCTTTGTAACCTGACGAGGCGCTCTTTGGAAATGGGGAAGGATACAAGCCAAAAAGAGTTGGCCTATGTGAATTGTGAATAATGCAAAAGCATGATGGCAAAAGCCTACTTTAGAAACCTTTTATGGATAGGCTCCTTGGCTAATGCATGGCCAGGATAAGAAATACACCCAACGCATTGCAGTGGAAACAGATTTCATTATAGTAGGGTAAGGGTAGCCTACTGAAGGCTTGTTTTTTGATCACATGAAACGGGAAACAAGCAATTGTTACAGGAAAATAACTTTAATGTTTCTAAATAGGGTCAACTGAATCAGCTCATCTCTCGTTCCATGATGAGCATATGGACATGTAGCCTACATGAGTCGTTTTACACACATCCAAAATAATTACAGGAGCTGGCTTAAATAATGTAATACAGATAAAAAGGGGATGTCAGCTCACATTTGTGATGCTCCCAAACTTCTAATACAGCTTTGGTGATTAAGATTGATTTCAAAGCAACCCTTTATCGATAAACTTGACTATTTGGTGAATGCAATGGGCAGGACAAAAAAACGAATTTCATTGAGAGGAGGGGAGGCTATGCTTGGTTTTTAATAAAGTGAAACGAATTGGGGAAAAACATTAGTTTTTGATGTTTCTAAATACAAGCTTTATGGGTACAAAAAGCACATATCTCTTGTTCCATGCGCATATGGGCAGTGTGCATCATGGCTGGATTCTCTGTCAAAATCCATGCCATAACCAATCACGTAACCTCTAAGACCAGCTATTGGTTGGTCTTGAATATCTCCACCAGCACTGCCTGACATTGGCACTTTGGCGCACGTTTTTAAGGACACACCTCAGATATTGCCACTGCCTCCCACCTCAGCACAAGCGAGCGCCAATAAAACAGGTAAATTACCAATCCTGGCGCAAGTGATAGAAAATAGCAGAGCGGCGGTCGAAATTGCCAAGGAGCGTGCGTTTGACAATTGTGCTGGCTTAACACCAGCTGAAAATAGAGACCTGAGATTGTTGTGAGGTTAAACTGTTTGGACTGTTTGAGCAGGTTCACTGACAATGATGATTGATGGAGCTGGGAAGAGCACAACCCGATCTGGGACCAGGCTAAGCTGAACCTGCAATTCCTCTGAGCAGACAAGGATTGATAAGTATTGTGGTTGAATGGGTTTTAGTTCATCAATCACTGTTGAATGACCTCCCACCAAAGGGCTGCATACATGGAGTAAGTTGTAGACACTTTGCACTTTCCCTCCAAGATCTAAGGACTACTGTACTACTGCTACTGCAACTGATCAGTCAGTCCTACATCATGGCTTCAACAAAGCTCAACAGTACCGCATGCTCTTTCTATATCTCACACCATCTCAACATGACAACTGTTCTAGACGAGCTTGATCTCTCTGCCTGTTTTTTTCTGGCACATCGTTGCAGGGAAAATATTTTTCTTTCTGATTCTTTTCATTCTATTTCTCCTCACTCTGGCGATGAACAGCTACCTACTCATTGGATTGATGAGACTTAAAGAGCGCTTCTGGCAGCCGTCCTACACCTTAATCTGTTGGCGTTATTACAGCATTATTACAGCATTCCCTGTGTTGTACTTTCTTCTGCTCCAACGTACTGTAATTTGTGGGCATAATTTTGTTTTTATGGCTATTGTGTTTTTGAGCTCTCAGATGACTCTGGAGCTCATGGCGATAGAAAGATATGTGTTTATTTGCAACAGCATCCACTACCAGAGCATCATGCCTCCCAGGCGTGTTTGCGACTTGCTTTGGGGCTAATCTATAACCTTAACCACTCATACTTAATACCTAAACTTAACCCTTTGAGTTGTTTCTGTTTTAACCCTCTAAACATGCGGAATTAACCCTGTAACCACATGGAATGAATGTGTCAAAAATAGACGTTCATCCATAATACGTCAAATTTCAATGGGAAACTATGAGATCTTGTTGGGTAATTACCGAGTCCAGCTCAACCTGAGACAAGGTGCATTTAACAGAGCCACTGCAGGGCTGCTCTATGAGCCTAGAATTAACATTTGAGCCATTTAGAAGACACTCTTATCCAGAGCAAATAGGGTTAAGTGCCCTGCTCAAGGGCACATCAATAGATTTTTCGCCTAGTCAGCTTGGGGATTTGAACCAGCAATCTTTTGGTTACTGGCCCGATGCTCTTAACCACTGCTAATCTACCCAGTAAAGCAATGAAAACAATCAAGCATCCCAGAAAAGTGCTAAAAATCACCCACGTTAACATAAGTAGCTTAAGAAACAAGATTCATGAAATCAATAATTTGCTAGTAACAGATTACATTCATATTCTGACAATCTCTGAAACTCACTTAGATAATATCTTTGATGATACAGTGGTAGCAATACATGGTTATAACATCTACAGAAAATACAGAAATGCCAAAGGTGGAGGTGTTGCCATTTATATTCAGAACCACATTCCTGTAAAGCTTAGCGAGGATATCATGTCCAATACTGTTGAAGTAATATGGCTACAGGTTCATCTGCCTCACCTAAATACCATTCTGGTGGGAAGCTGCTATAGACTACCAAGTGCTAACAGCCAGTATCTCTATAAAGTGTGAAATGCTTGATCATGTATTTGATATCAACAGAGAGGTATATTTTCTGGGTGATTTAAATATTGACTGGCTTTCATCAGGCTGCCCACTCAAGAGAAAGCTTCAAACTGTAACTAGTGCCTGCAACCTGGTTCAGGTTATCTGTCAACCTACCAGGGTAGTTACAAATAGTACAGGAATTAAATAATCAACATCTTTACTAATGCTGCAGAAATTTGCTTTAAAGCGGTATCCAAATCCATTGGATTTAGTGATCACGATATATTAGCCATATCTAGGAAAACTAAAGTTCCAAAGGCTGGGCCTAATATAGTGTATAAGAGGTCATACAATAAGTTTTGTAGTGATTCCTATGTTGTTGATGTAAAGAATATATGTTGGTCTGTGGTGTGTAATGAGAAGCAACCAGACGCTGCACTTGACACATTTATGAAATTGCTTATTCCAGTTACTAATAAGCATGCACCCATTAAGAAAATGACTGTAAACTGTTAAATCCTTGTGGATTGATGAGGAATTGAAAAATTGTATGGTTGATAGGGATGAGGCAAAAGGAATGGCAAGTAAGTCTGGCTGCATAACCGATTACCAAACGTACTGCAAATAAACAGAATAAAAAGAAGAAGAACCTACACTATGAAACAAAGATAAATGAAATAAAGAATGATAGTAAAAAGCTTTGTAGCACCTTAAATGAAATTTTGGCCAAAAAGGCAAACTCAGCTCCACCATTCATTGAATCAAATGGTTTATTCATCACAAAACCAACTGATATTGCCAATTACATTAATTATTTTTCCATTGGCAAGATTAGCAAACTTAGGCATGACATGAAAGCAACAAACGCTGACACTACACATCCAAGTATAACTGATCAAATTATGAAAGACAAGCAGTTTAATTTTGAATTCTGTAAAGTGAGTGTGGAAGAAGTGAAAAAATGATTGTTGTCTATCAACAATGACAAGCCACCGGGGTCTGACAACTTGGATGGAAAAATACTGAGGATAATGGTGGTTGATATGGCCATTCCTATTTGCCATATCTTCAATCTAAGCTTACTAGAAAGTGTGTCCCCTCAGGCCTGGAGGGAAGCAAAAGTAATTCCGCTACCCAAGAATAGTAAAGCTCCCTTTACTGGCTCAAATAGTCGACCAATCAACCTGTTACCAACCCTTAGTAAACTTTTGGAAAAAATTGTGTTTGACCAGATCCAATGCTATTTTACTGTAAACAAATTGACAACAGACTTTCAGCACACTTATTGGGAAGGACATTCAACAAGCACTTACACAAATGACTGATGATTGGCTGAGAGAATTGATGATAAAAATATTGTGGGAGCTGTTTTGTTAGACTTAAGTGCAGCTTTTTACATTATCTCACATGGTCTGCTAATGGAAAAATGTATGTGTCATGGCTTTACACCCCCTGCTATGTTGTGGATAAAGAGTTACCTGTCTAACAGAATACAGAGGGTGTTCTTTAATGGAAGCCTCTCCAACATAATTCAGGTAGAATCAGGAATTCCCCAGGGCAGCTGTCTAGGCCCCTTACTTTTTTCAGTGTTTGAACTTTGAGCAAAGCTACTGTGGATAAGTATGCGGATGACTCAACACTATACACGTCAGCTACTACAGCGAGTGAAATCACTGCAACACTTATTTCAGAATGGGTACCAAGGAATAAGTTAGTCCTAAATATTTCAAAAACTAAAAGCATTGTATTTGGGACAAATCATTCACTAAACCATCAACCTCAACTAAATATTGTAATAAATAATGTGGTAATTGAGCATGTTGAGGTGACTAAACTGCTTGGAGTAACCCTGGATTGTAAGCTGTCATGGTCAAAATACAACAGTAGCTAAGATGGGGAGAAGTCTGTCCATAATAAAGCACTGCTCTGCCTTTTTAACAACACTATCAACAAGGCAGGCCCTACTATATGTGCTTTTAATAAGGTTACATGTTTGAAGTGTGTGTTCATGTGAATGCTATTGGCCACTGTATGTTTCAGGATGTTGTGGAGTTGATTCTCTCATTTTATACTGCTCAGTCTTTCATTTACCATTGTGATTTGTCTTTTCCCACTTTCATTCAAATCATTTATATTACAAAAAAATCGACAACATCAAATCGATATGATCTATATTAAAAATGGAAATAAAGCAACAGCGTAGAAGTGTGTGATAATTATTGTGTGTTGGTTGAACGTAATAGACCAACTGGCACTCTAGGAAGCCTGAAACACAAACAACAAGTATTTGAAAGATTTGATTTGAGCCCAGGTCAGAGTTGTAGTAGTTCTTACTGCGGTAGCAGCACTGGTGACTGCAGTCATGTCTAGAGTAGTAGATATAGGGACTGTAGTAGTATTAGTAGTGACTGTAATTATATAGTAGTGACTACAGTCAGAAACCAGCACAAGCTCTACAGCAGCTGGACTCACAAGAGGTCGTAGGTCAGGGTGTGCCAGGATGTAACCGTTGTTGGTGATGAGGAAGGCATAACCATGGGGACCCAGCCTATATCTGGGAGCCAGCTTCATGACCTCCAGCAGGGGGATGTCAGAACCTACCACACCCAGCAGGATCCCATGGGACAGCTGGAGGATAAAGGGGGAGAGAAGGGTTTATAAGACTTGTAATGGCAACAACTACTGTAACATGTCACTGCAACACTGCTGTACAGTACACAAAGTGAGCTGCTTAACCTGGTTCAAACATATAACACATACCTTTTATAGCTCTACTTTACTACAGTTTTGACCTCATCCCCCAGGCTATAAGGGAAGAAGTGTCTGGGGCATGAGACTACAATTGCAACTTCTACTGTTGTTACTTTGATTACCACCATGCCTATGTTTAATATATATTTAATTCTGACAAAGGTTTTCAGTCCACTGACCGTCTCTTTCTTCTTGCTGAAGACAGGCATTGCCACGGAGGTCATGAGAAGTAAACTTTGAGACTTTGTGGCAAAGAGCTAAAGGAGAAATGGCAGAGTTAACACATATTTATGCATTTTTTTAATCCTAAACCAAATCAAAAAGCTGTTGGTTCTGGTACTACTACTACTTGTTGACTACTAATACCTGCAATAAAAACTTGCTGCACTAGAGGGTGTCCATACAACTGCAGTTGATGATCTTAAGCTTGGGAGAATACATTCACTATTACCAAAAAAGCCTAAACAGAAGTGGAATGCACTAAAAGAGCTTCACTAGTAGACAAGCTGTATTTCCCACAGTGGCTAGTCTCTTTTTACCTCCTTCGTATTGGGTAGCTGTCAGTGTGAGTGAGTGAGTGTCAGGTCCAGTGATAGAGGTGAGGTGAGATGAGAGAATGAGCACAGTAGCAGGACAGAAGACAAACATAGGGAGGACTCATGAACAACACAGATACACAGAATGAATGAACTAATGTAACTGACAGCACACATGAGAATACAGTAGACAGTTGACTTTCAAACATGACAATATGAGGTGACAATCATGGAGTTAAATCAAATGCAACAATAATGCTTTGCCTTTGAAGCCCAAAAAAGTGCAGTTCTGTAAGAAAGGCAGAATGCAGTTATTAGGCAAAGCACACTGGGTAAGTATAGCTGCCGTACTCACCACAGTGTCCATGTAGGCCTCTGTCCAGATTATGTCATGATTGTGATTGATGACCATTGGTCGACTCAAGACATGAAGGTACTCCATGACATTCTCCTGTACATCAGCCAGAGTGGAGATGTGTGTGTAGTAACCCTTGTTGTTGCAGGCGATCCACTTGGTGTTGTCTGCAAAGGTCATCTCTCTGCCTATTAGGTAAGTGAAGAGGCGCACCTGAAAGAGACAGTATTGGAGACTGATTTTCAATTCAGTAAGTTCATTGAGTAAATACTGAACATATTACACTGATAAGGCTGTTACAGTAATGTCCTCTATTATAGACCTAGCTTTTCTGGGTCAGTAGGGAAATAGAGAAGAATAGTACCGTAAATAAGTATTTATGTAGGTCAAGTGGGTGTGTAGTTATTCAAATAGAGTAAATAGTAGTTTTGCCCTACAGTACCCTGCGATCAGGCCAGTTGAACTCTTCAAACACGTCCTTGAAGTCCTCCATGGCTCCATCTGTGATCAGCATGATGGCCTGGTTGCACAGGCTGCCTTGGCCCTTGGTCGCTGCCTGGGAGGAAGAACCACACAGGGAAGGACTGATACTCGGCCAACAGCATTTGTGTGGAAGTATGTGTGTGTGGGGGGGTTGTTATGTATGTGATTGTGTGTGTGTTTGTGTGTGTGCTGGAGGCAAACCTCGTTCAGGATTTTGAACGATTCCTTCATGGCCTTTGCAACTTTGCCCTCTCCCTTGACATGCAGCTCATCCACCAGCACCTTAAAATGCTGGACAGTGTGAGAGAGAGAGAGAGAGAGAGAGAGAGAGAGAGAGAGAGAGAGAGAGAGAGAGAGAGAGAGAGAGAGAGAGAGAGAGAGAGAGAGAGAGAGAGAGAGAGAGAGAGAGAGAGAGAGAGAGAGAGAGATTGCGTCAGCACTTTTTATGGTGAGAATACAATGTGAAGTACAGACAATTATCAATTATGCAGCACAGGACAGGACAAGACAGGACAGGACAAGACAGCACAGGACAAGACAGTGTAAGGTCAAATAAACCAGTCCAGTTGACTGAATACCAAGGGAGTTTTTATGTGACCTGTTTGCTGTCACTGGTTGCTGGCTATTAAGCACTTTGTGACAATTTTATTAAACACACTATTCCAATGGTATTTGATTAATTGAATGATTAAGGAAAAACTATAATGCAAATAAGGAGTTTCAAATGTGTATTACTGTACGTTTGTTTACTTAACACACCTGGTAACTTCACAGGCATGGTTAACCTTAACAAGAGAGAGTAATTATTCTAGGTCCTAAGGGTAACCATAGTCTGTACCTCATTCCAGAGGTTATACCCATTATGGTGCCAGAGGCTTCCAGAATGTTCCTGAGAAGATATGGTTGTAGGATGTAGGAGCAGATGCTAGGTGGTTAAAACCCAGGAAAACATTAGCGGCTCTGCTCATAAACCTATCAGCCCCAAGTGCAAAGTCAACTGGCCTGTCTGCCTGCCTCACTGCCTGCTTCCCTCCCTCCCTGCCTGCCTCCATGCCTGCCCCCTCACTCATTTTACTATATGATTACTGCTATGGTACAGTATATGGACATAGAGTGATTGATTGACAGATTGTATCTAACTTTTTAGGAGGTTATACCTCTCACACAGTGCACTGCCTATGCACAAATTCTGCAAGCTAAAATCGTATGGACTGATTTATCAATACATTTTATTGGACACACCTACTCATTACAGGGTTTTTCTTAATTTTTTACTATTTTCTACATTGTAGAATAATAGTGAAGACATGAAATCTATGGAACAACACATATGGAATCATGTAGTAACCAGAAAAGTATTAAACAAATCAAAATATATTTTATATTTGAGATTCTTTAAAGTAGCCACCCTTTGCCTTGATGACAGCTTTGCACACTCTCGGCATTCTCTCAACCAGCTTCATGAGGTATTCACCTGGAATGCATTTCAATTAATAGGCGTGCCTTGTTAAAAGTTAATTTGTGGAATTTCTATCCTTCTTAATGCATTTGAGCCAATCAGTTGTGTTGTGATAAGGTAGGGGTGGTATACAGAAGATATCCCTATTTGGTAAAAGACCAAGTCCATATTATGGCAAGAACAGCTCAAATAAGCAAAGAGAAACGACAGCCCATCATTACTTTAAGACATGAAGGTCAGTCAATCCGGAAAATGTCAGTGCTATGATGAAACTGGCTCTCAGGAGGACCGCCACAGGAAAGGAAGACCCAGAGTTACCTCTGCTGCAGAGGATAAGTTAATTAGAGTTAACTGCATCTCAAATTGCAGCCCAAATAAATGCTTCACAGAGTTCAAGTAACAGACACATCTCAACATCAACTGTTCAGAGAAGACTGCGTGAAATCAGGCCTTCATGGTTGAATTGCTGCAACGAAACCACTACTAAAGGACACCAATAATAAGAAGAGACTTGCTTGGGCCAAGAAACACGAGCAATGGACATTAGACCGGTAGAAATCTGTCCTTTGGTCTGATGAGTCCAAATTGGAGATTTTTGGTTCCAACCGCTGTGTCTTTGTGAGATGCAGAATAGGTGAACGGATGATCTCCGCGTGTGTGGTTCCCACCGTGAAGCATGGAGGAGGAGGAGGTGTGATGGTGTGGGGGTGCTTTGCTGGTGACACTGTCTGTGATTTATTTAGAATTCAAGGCACACTTAACCAGCATGGCTACCACAGCATTCTGCAGCGATATGCCATCCCAGCTGGTTTGCACTTAGTGGGACTATCATTTGTTTTTCAACAGGACAATGAACCAACACACCTCCAGGCTGTTTAAGGGCTATTTGACCAAGAAGGAGAGTGATGGAGTGCTGCATCAGATGACCTGGCCTCCACAATCACCCGACCTCAACCCAATTGAGATGGTTTGGGATGAGTTGGACTGCAGAGTGCAGGAAAAGCAGCCAACAAGTGCTTAGCATATGTAGGAACTCCTTCAAGACTGTTGGAAAAGCATTGCCAAGAGTGTGCAAAGCTGTCATCAAGGCAAACAGTGGCTACATTGAAGAATCTCATATATAAAATATATTTTGATATGTTTAACACTTTTTGGGTTACTACATGATTCCATATGTGTTATTTCATAGTTTGGATGTAGGCTGATGGTTGTTGTGAGTGACAGCTGACCTGGAATACTCTCTGATTTCACACTGGTCTGATGCAAGAAGTAGGAACTAGGCCAAGAGGTGGAGGCAACTATGCCACACATAGCCCAGAAGCAAGCCTGACAGCCAAGGGGGCCACTCACGCTTACACCTCCATAGGGGCGTAATGTCATAATCTAACACTTTGAGTTGCTAGAGCCCTGCTGAGAGGTAAGGGCTCTGTGGCTTAGTGGCCACAGCTTACATTAAGCAGATAATGGACTTACCTCTCGGTTGTCCAAATCAGCCTGCACCAGAGTGCCTTTGAAGCAGGGCTCTACATAGCGCACATAGTCAGTGTACTGTGGGGAGAAAAGATGACAAGGCAGGGTTGGAGTTAGCACAGGTCTTATCAAGTCAGGCTGTAGTCCTGGCAACAGTGTAACAGTGTTGCAATGCAACAGTATTGTGGTACAACGGGTAATGTGTTAAGGTGTGATGGTGTAATGGTAATGTCTTAGTCAACCAAAGATCAACTGAGGATGGGGGTGAATCTTTCATATTTCAATCCATGGAAATCAGAAGACCCTGTTTGAGATTGGTTGGCTATTGGTGTTTACTGGAGGGTTGACTCACAGCGATGACGTTGACAAAGTCGTTCTCCCCCAGTGTGTCCAGGATGGTGTTGATGGTGTGTTTGGCGATGGTCATCTTCAAGCCCTTCATACTGCCACTGATGTCCACCACAATGATAATGTCCTTTGGTGAGGTGGCAGCCTGAATATACCTGGGGGACAGGGGGAGAGAAACAGGACTGTAACTCTATGGTGTGTGAGAGGGTTCTACTACCGATACAGTACCTGTTGCCTAATCTTTTGTGGTACAGGGAGTAGGATCGAGACCCCAGTCAACGGTTCTATCTCTCTCTTACACTGCTTCATGAAAATACTTTCCACATATAATTCACAGCCCCTTACTTAACAATTCACAATTAAATAAAAAGCTAGGCCTACAGTATAGGGCCTAGCCCAAATAAATGCTTCACAGAGTTCAAGTAACAGACACATCTCAACATCAACTGTTCAGAGGAGACTGTGTGAATCAGGACTTCATGGTCAAATTGCTGCAAAGAAACCACTACCAAAGGACACCAATGAGAAGAAGAGACTTGGTTGGGCCAAGAAACAAGAGCAATGGACATTAGACCGGTGGAAATGTGTCCTTTGGTCTGGAGTCAATATTTGAGATTTTTGGTTCCAACCGCGTGTCTTTGTGAGACGTGGTGTGGGTGAACGGATGATCTCCACATGTGTATTTCCCACCGTAAAGCATGGAGGAGGAGGTGTTATGGTGTGGGGGTGCTTTGCTGGTGACACTGTCTGTGATTTGTTTAGAATTCAAGGCACACTTAACCAGCATGGCTACCACAGCAATCTGCAGTGATACGCCATCCCATCTGGTTTGGGCTTAGTGGGACTATCATTTGTTTTTTAACAGGAAAATGACCCAACACCTCTAGGCTGTGTAAGGGCTATTTGACCAAGAAGGAGAGTGATGGAGTGCTGCATCAGATGACCTGGCCTCCACAATCCCCCGACCTCAACCCAATTGAGATGGTTTGGGATGAGTCGGACCACAGAGTGAAGGAAAAGCAGCCAACAAGTGCTCAGCAAATGTGGGAACTCCTTCAAGACTGTTGGAAAAATAATTCCAGGTGAAGCTGGTTGAGAGAATGCAGAGTGTGCAAAGCTGTCATCAAGGCAAAGGGTGGCTATTTGAAGAATCTCAAATATAAAATATATTTTGATTTGTTTAACACTTTTTTGGTGACTACATGATTCCATATGTGTTATTTCATATTTTTGATGTATTCACTATTATTCTACAATGTAGAAAATAGTAAAAATAAAATAAAACATTTGAATGAGTAGGTTTGTCCAAACGTTTGACTGGTACTGTATATTATTTAGTATATGTAAAGACATGATTAAATCAAGAATAATGGTTGACAACATTAGCCTATTGTGAATTATGTATTATCACTTCTGAATGATGCCCAGTGTAAGGCAAGAAACAATGCCTTTTTTGTGTGTGACTTTTTCCGAATCATAGTCGCACACCTCATGTAGCCTAGCCCATAGGCCTATATGTTTTGATAACGTTGGTATCATAACTAAAGTGGACAAATAACTTCTTAAAATTAAGCACCTTAATCCGCTTCACAAGGGGTGTAGAGCCTAACTGGCATACAGAAGCAGCACATGAGTTTCAAGTTTGGGGAATATCATTTTCACCTTAAAAATTCACCTTTATAATAAAAGCATTACATGCATAATCGCATTTGTGGTCACTTTTGATAATGGTGTTTTTCCACTAATGGAACATTCATGCTTATAGCCTACTGCTCTGTGCGCATTGCTGCACTTATAATGTGAAGAAATAGCCTAATAGTTTATCAACATTTTAAGCTAAACGTTCTGTTCTGTTGTTTCAGCCACATTGCATAAAAAAGGTTTTTTGATGTTAGTGGTTGTATTAATTTGGGATCTATCGCATCCCACAACTGTCCCAGACCATATTTGGAATATTTATTTAGCATGGATTTTTTTAGGGTGCATTACGGCCACACAAAGGGGATGCCACCAGGAAATTCGAGGCATTATCAAGAGCTTGTCAAATTGTGAATGAGAGACTGATAAGGTGTGTGAAAAAACAAAGCAGAGCTCATGCCTTTCAAGCAACTTTTTAAAAATCATCCTTAGAGTCGTATCATGCAGCCTTACAATGTATTAACAATCAAAACATATAGCCCATATAGAACAACTAAAGTTACATTAATAACTCTAAATGTAGCATATAGGAGTACCTATTTCTTTGTTAACCACTCAACACAGAATAGCCACATGTGCGCACACCCTCAAATCGAAAATATCCTTTCTATTTTATTCAGCTTTGTTCAATTTTATGTTTCAGACTATAAAATACTATAAAATAATCCCACAGAATTGTAAGTAAATCTTGTCTGCTAAATGAACTAGTGTAGCCCACAGCCATTTGGCATAGCCAGATCAGGACTTAACATGCTATTCTGTTATTCTGAAATAGACTACATTTTCTTCATGTAATGTTTCTTTAGACCTGTCTAAAATTAATAATGGATTTATTAGACTTTTTTAAATGTAGATGTTCCAAAGGTCTGCATCAGTGGCTTGTAGGCAATGTATGGAAGCCAGGTTATGTTAATTAACGATAAATTACCGTGAGACTGACAGTTATTCACACCCCATGACTTTTTCCATATTTTGTTGTGTTACAACCTGAATTTAAAATGTATTAAATTGAGATTTTGTGTTTTTATGGAATTATGTTTTTCAGCTTAATTAAAGCTGAAATGCTGAAATGTATTGGGTCAATAAGTATTCAACCCCTTTGTTATGGCAAGCCTAAATACACTGAACAAAAATATAAAAGCAACATGTAGACAAGAAAGCAACAAGAAGCTGATTAAACAACATGACCATTACACAGGTGCACCTTGAGGTGGCTTCTTCACCTGCGGGATCGTCTGAGACCTGCTATCCGGACACCTAATGAAACTGTGGGTTTGCACAGCCTAAGAATTTCTGCACAAACTGTCAGAAACCGTATCAGAGAAGCTAATCTGCGTGCGCGTCATCCTCAACAGGGTCTTGACCTTACTGCAGTTCTGTGTCGTAACCGACTTCAGTGGGTAAATGCTCACCTTCGATGGCCACTGGCACGCTGGAGAAGTGTGCTTTTCACGGATGAATCCCGGTTTCAACTATACTTGGCATATGGCAGACAGCATGTATGGTGTCTTGTGGGTGAGCGGTTTGCTGATGTCAACACTGTGAACAGTGGCCCATTACATTTTACATTTAAGTCATTTAGCAGACGCTCTTATCCAGTGAGTGCATACATAATTTTTTTTTTTTCATACTGGCCCCCCGTGGGACTCAAACCCACAACCCTGGCGTTGCAAACGCCATGCTCTACCAACTGAGATACATCCCTGCCGGCCATTCCCTCCCCTACCCTGGACGACGCTGGGCCAATTGTGCGCCGCCCCGTGGGTGGTGGGGTTATGGTATTGGCAGGCATAAGCTAAGGTCAATGAACACAATTGCATTTTTCCGATGGCAATTTGAATGCACAGAGATACCGTGATGAGATCCTGAGGCCCATTGTCGTGCCATTCAACTGCTGCCATCACCTCATGTTTCAGCATGATAGTGCACAGCCCCATGTCGCAAGGATCTATACACAATTCCTGGAAGCTGAAAATGTCCCAGTTCTTCCATGGCCTGCATACTCACCAGACATGTCACCCATTGAGCATGTTCGGGATGCTCTGGATCAACATGTATGACAGCGTGTTCCAGTTCCCGCCAACATCCAGCAACTTCCTTATATGAACTGTAACTCAGTAAAATCTTTGAAATTGTAGCAAGTTGCGTTTATATTTTTGTTCAGTGTAAGTTCAGGAGTAAAAGTTTGCTTAACAAGTTACATAATAAGTTGCATGGACTCACTCTGTGTGCAATAATAGTATTTAACATGATTTTTTAATTACTACCTCATCTCTGTACCCCACACATACAATTATCTGTAAGGTCCCTCAGTCGAGCAGTGAATTTCTAACACAGATTCAACCACAAAGTCCAGGGAGGTTTTCCAATGCCTCGAAAAGAAGGCCCTATTGGTAGGTGGGTAAAAAAAGCAGACATTGAATAATCCCTTTGAACATGGTGAAGTTATTAATTACACTTTGGATGGTGTATTAATACACCCAGTCACTAGGAAGGTACAGGCGTCCTTCCTAACTCAGTCGCCAGAGAAGAAGGTAACCGTTCAGGGATTTTCACCATGAGGCCAATGGTGAGTTTAAAACATTTACAGAGTTGGCTGTGATAGGAGAAAACTGAGGATGGATCAACAACATTGTAGTTACTCCACAATACTAACCTAAATGACAGAGTGAAAAGAAGGAAGCCAGTACAGAATAAAACATATTCCCAAACATGCATCCTTTTTGCAATAAGGCAATAAAGTAAAACTGCAAATATTGTGGCAAAGAAATGAACTTTATGTCCTTAATACAAAGAGTTATGTTTGGGGCAAATTCAACACAACACAATACTGAGTACCACTCTTTATATTTTCAAGCATGGTGGTGGCTGCAACATGTTATCGGTATGCTTGTCATCGGCAAGTACTAGGGAGTTTTTATTTTTATAAAAAGAAACAGAATTGACCTAAGCACTGGCAAAATCCTAGAGAAAAACCTGGTTCAGTCTGCTTTCCAACAGACACTGGGAGACAAATTCACCTTTCAGCAGGACAATATCCTAAAACACAAGGCCAAGTATACACTGGAGTTGCTTACCAAGACAACATAGAATGTTCCTGAGTGGCCTAGTTACAGTTGTGACTTAAATCGGCTTATATTAGATATTTCTGTATTTCATTTTCAATACATTTGCTAAAGTTTCTAAAAACATGTTTTCACTTTGTCATTATGGGGCCTTGTGTGTAGATGGGTGAAATTATTTTTTTTTTAAATCAATTTGGAATTCAGGCTGTATCACAATAAAATGTGGAATAAGTGAAGGGGTATGAATACTTTTTGAAGGCACTGTAGGTTTCCTCTATTATCTGTGTCTGCTGTTAGCTAGTTACTGGCTAGAGAGGTTTTCAGCCTGCATGGAACAAAAGCAGGGGAAGGGTTGCCCAAAACCCAGATGCAGTTATCATGTCATTACTTCA